ATCTTACCTGGAGTGTTATATATAAATAAATAAATATATATATATATATATTCACAATAGCTTCATCCTTCTAAGTTGTATTGTTCCCTTATAAGCTGGATTCAAATTAAGTGTTCGGTTGCACAAAAGATTACTTGAATTCCCAAAACTATTTTCTTTCCAAAACTGGCCAAAATATGCAAATTATCAAAATTGTTATGTTGATATAAATTACCATTTTAAAAAAATTATTACATAATTTGTCATCCAAAATTTTTATTTTCAAAAAATCAATCTAAATTTAATAGTTACTATTAAAGTTTATTAAATTATTACTTTTGAAATCTAACAAAAAATTACCAATAAATATTAAATTTGAACTAATTTTTTCAAAATAAAAATTAAAGGTGATAAATTACATCAACAATATTTTTAAATAATAATTTACTTCAACATTATAATTTTGGACGGAATTTGCACCTTTTACTTTTCAAATTCACGTGTGACTTCAGACATGTGTTATAGTGGTCAGTTGTTGTGGGCTGAGCATACATATTTAAGCTATTGCAGCAGGTCAGTATGGCTTTAAGCACAATATATTTGTTTCTGTTGTTTAATCTTGCCATTTTCCTGTAAGGATTTGTTCTTTAAAATTGAGAGGTCTAAATGCCTTTGAAATAAACCGGTGCCTATTGGCTTGTTTCATTGAGATGGGTCAAGAATTTGTGAAAGAGGAGGAAGAAATGGACCAGACCAGTTTTCGGTTCTTTAAACAGACCAACCCAGAGAATTCTTGGGATGAATATTAATTGCTTCGTATTTCACAGTATATTTAGGACAAAAACATGTATTCACTTGTTGCTGGCTGATGTTAACCTAAAAGATTAACAACATGTTTAAGATCCTTATTTTCCTTCAATTAGGTATTTTAGCAGTATTTTAGGTTTAATTAATGACATTTTAACAACAACCAAAAATAATAATAATGATAATTTAACTATTATACTAAATGTAATTTAACTATTTCACGAGAAGCACGAGATGAGGAAATTATAATTGTGCAGTTATGGGTATGAACTTGAAATTAAATTTCAAATTCCTTCGGTCTATTTATTACCTATTTTCAAAAAAAAAAAAAAATCCTTCGGTTTATTTGAGTGATGCCCAGCTTGTTAAGGTCATATCAGCACTGCAACTTGTTGAAAACGTCAATCGGGTG